GAAAGCCCCTTGAGGAACCCAGCTGGAGTCCCCAATAGAGCAGAGTGTCCCTCTGGTGAGGCTGCCAAGTCAAAGAACAAACAGCTACTGAGGAGATGACATCATAAATCAGACACAACATCTAGTAGAAACCAACTGGGGAAGTTGAGGCAGGCAGCTGAGTTCCCGATTGAGTTTTCTCTCCATAGACGAACTTCCAGGTCGCCCTATCTAGTTTTATGTCAACTTGACATAGGCTAGAGTCATCAGAGGAGGGGACCTCAATTAAGAAAATGCACCCCCAGAGCCGGGCAGTGGTGGCGCACGCCTTTAATCCCAGCACTCAGGAGGCAGAGGCAGGCGGATCTCTGTGAGTTCGAGGCCAGCCTGGTCTACAAGAGCAAGTTCCAGGACAGCTAAGGCTGTTACACAGAGAAACCCTGTCTTGAAAAACCAAATAAATAAATAAATAAATAAATAAGTAAAAATCGGGCTGTAGGTAAGCCTGCGGGGAATTTTTAAAATTAGTGATTGATGGGGAGGGCCCAACCCATTTTGGGCTGGGGCTATCCGTGGGTTCTGTAAGAAAGCAGACTGAGCAAGCCATGGGGATCAAGCCAGTAAGCAGCACCCCTCCCTGGCTTCTGTATCAGCTCCTGCTCCAGGCTCCTGCCCTGACTTCCTCCAGGGATGGACACCGATGTAGAGGTGTAAGCCAAATAAAACAAACCCTCTCCTCACCAGGTTGCTTTGGTCATGGTGTTTCATCGCAGCAATATAACCCTAAGGCCCCCCTTCTCTTCCCCTTGGGCACTTCCTTCTACAGTCTGGGGTGAGCAGTAGCAGCCTCTGTGGGAATGGCTTCCTTCTAGCTGATTTCCAGGGCCCAGTGCCTTCTCTCTTGGCCTGTTTTTCTGTTCTCTCCCCTAACCCTCAAGCCAGGCCCCTGAGGACGGAGGGGATGGTACGGTTGCCACTGGATCCCTTTGTCCTCTCCTAATGTGGCCACATTGAATGAATCTCCTTTTCCCACATTTTTCCTATTATTATTATTTATTATTATTAATTTTTCTCTGTGTCGCCCTGGCTGTCCTGGAACTCACTCTGTAGACCGGCCTGCTCCTGCCTCCAGGAACGCTGGGATCAAAGGTGAGCTCTACCACCACCTGGCTAATTTCTCTTTTTAATAGGTTTATTGAAGGTGACTGTCTAGGGCTGAGAGGGCAGAGGCTCTGACCCTGGTAAATCCAGTGACAGGATCACCAGCAGACAGGGACAAAGGAGGAGCTGGGACCGTTCCTTCTGGCTCTACACTCCGGGACTGCGGAAAGGGGAACAGAAGTGGGGAAAGGGTGAGTCTCTGGTGCTAATCCCTGCTTCCTGTCGGGATTGTCCTGACTGCTGCTGGGGCCTGTCTTCGGATGTCACAGCTGCGGAAATAGATCTCCCCTCTTCACCTGTCACGGCAGCGGCCTCTTCTCTAGCTTCCTGTCAGAGGAATGCCGTGGTGCTGGGGCCTCAGAGGACTGAATGCCCGCCCACCTTCCCACCTCTGAGGGCGCAGGGTTTGAGGAATTGAGCAAATCTACAGGGGAGACGTAAAGAGCCCCAGGCATCCTGGGCTATTTGCCTCATGTCTGCCTGGTCCCCCCTCCAGAAACCTCTGGGTCCTTAGGACTCCCCGCTCCTAAGAGTGAGCGACAGAATGGCAGTGAGTGGCTCCTCTGCCCTCCAAACCTGCCTCACACCCACGCCCGGTCCTATAAAATCTTCTATTCCCGTGGGACCAGGGAACCGGGTCACCCTAGCTTATCACTCAACAAACGTGGGTCCTCCCAGGGTTAGCATCAGCGTCAGGAGGAGCAGAACCTAAGCCTGGGGAACCCCAGCCAGGGGCCTGAAGGTAGATCTCCAGAAGAGAGGGACCCCACGCTGCGGAAGAAGAGGAGGGCCAGGGCGGAGGCTTGCTTTGTTTCCCAGGCACCGGGCATCCTGGGCTGGGCGGGTCAGTGTACTCTTGGGAGGAGTCTTCTCGGGCGTCCCCAGAGCTACCTAGGTAACTGACTTGCTAAGCCATGTCCTCCCCCAGGAGCGGGAGCTGGAGTGGCGCCCCATCACAGAGTGCAGCCCCTACGGTGAGACCTGAGCCCAGGAGCACAGACTGTTTGGAATGGGCGCTGGGATGGGGGTAAACTCTAGGGGAGGTCCCAAACCAAGAGGAAGAGACTGGACTGGGAGGAAGGAGGCCATGGGGTGCAAAGACACTGAGCAGGGAGTGGGGGGGCTCCCGACATGCCTTACCCCTCTTCTGTCTGGTTGGGCTGAATCCCCACCCATGTCCCCAGCCCTGGGTGACCATCTTGCAGCCTTTTCCTTGGACTGTCCCGTCTCCTCTGCCTCAACCCAGCCGTGTCAAGGAAGGTAACTTCCCTGGGTCACTCCCTCGACACCCCGCTGCCACACATCCCTGGGGCCTCCTTTCTGTTCCGTCCTGTATAAATGCTGTACGGCGAGGGGGATGGGTCTGTGTGGCGGTGGGCCGGGTGGGCCTGCTGAAACCTGTTCCGCAGATCTGCTGGAGCTCATGATGCTGCAGAACGCCCAGCTGCACCAGCTGCTGTTGAGTCAAATGGTGGCGGGAGCCCTGAACCTGGGGCCAGAGGGGCCCAGCCCACAGGTGTGTGAAGGTGGGGCCCAGGGTGGGCTCTATGTGGGGGACCCCCCACCTGGAATAAAAAGACTGAGCATAGAGTAGCAGCAGAAAGCTAGCCCACACCCTCCCTGCCCGGCTCAGTCCCTTTGGCATCTACTGTGTGCCAAGGCCTGGTGTCAGCTTCTAGTAGGAAGGGAGTTTCCAAATCTCCACTACCACCCAGACGTTGTGTCCAAGGTTTTCCTTCCAGGTATTCCTCTGTGTTCCTCAAGTCCCAGGAGCCTGGTGCAGAACTCTTTTTTAAGGGCTCAACCGCTATTTGTCGAACAAAAGAATGAATAAGGGACTGGCTAGGTAGGCTGTGACAGGCAGGTGCAGAGATGTGGTATTGCTGCACACCTGGAGAGGGAGGGAGGAAGAAGACAGACTCCTTGGAGGACTGCAGGAGGCCTTAGGGCAGGCTCTTGAGGACCAGGTAGGATGTGAACCCGGGATGGAGGGAGTAAAGGGTGTGGGGTCTGAGAAAGGAAGACCCAACGGAAAGGGGACTCTGGGAGACCTGGAGGGGTTCAAGGAGGGGCTAGTTGGGGAGTTTAGGGAGGTGGAGATCCTGAATTAGGGCTGCTAACTCACACCCCTAGGCCCTCTGAGGCCCTGAGGTGAGCATCCCCCTTCCTCGAGGGATGCACAAAGATGCAGGAACAAAGGCAGATTGCTCTCTTGGATGAGTTAGGCTCTTCAACGAGGAGTCATTTCACCTCCTAGAGACTCAGCTCTCCCCTCTGCAGAGAAATGGGGTGAGCATCTCCAAAGCGCCTTGGCTGCACGCAAGCGCAGCTCACTAAACAGTACAGCCTTTACACCGGTGACGATGTGCAGAAAATAATGGAGGAGGTGGAGGAGGCGGGGCAGTGGGGGCAGGGAGGGCTGAGCCTGCCTCATCGCCACCCCCATCCACTTTGCACCCTCCCAGGTCTATACAGACAGCCAACAGGAACAGGTGGAGGAAGAGATGGAGGCGCAGGAGCAAGAAGAACCTGTGGTGGTTCACCATCACTATTTGCCGGGCCCCATGACACTCTGGCCAGTCTCTTTCCTCCCTGTTCCCCCACATCAACCTCCCTGGCAGGGTGCACCCAGGATTCAGCACCAGCTGCCTGCCTCCAGGCAAGGGGAGGTGTAAGTGAGACTGTGTGTGTGTGGGGGGGGGGGGGGGGGGGGGGGGGAGGGGGGGGGGGGGGGGGGGGGGGGGGGGGGGGGGGGGGGGGGGGGGGGGGGGGGGGGGGGGCGGTGGTAAAGCCTCAGAAGCCACCCTGGGTCTCTGACAGGGTCTTCTCTCTCTCCCATCTCAGGAGAGATGTGCCCCCACCGCCACCCCCCAGTGCCACAGGGACTGTTGGTGTGGATGTACCCCCAGCTTCAGGTAGGGGATGGGTGGATGGGCCTTGGGACCTGACCTGGGGCAGACTGAGGTGTCAGAAGGACCGTGTGCCCTTGTGGATGGGGGCTCCTGCCAATTGCTGCCTCGTCCCGTTCTATGTTTCTCTTTGGGGGTCCACCAAGGCAGGAAGGAGCAAGCTGAGGGTTCTGTCTCCCTAGAGTACTATGATGCTGAGAGCCTGCCATGAAGACGGATCATGATCCGGCCTCACCCGCTTCAGCATGGGGCTGCCAGCATGCTGGACCCTGCATCCATGCTGAAGCCCTTCCTACCCACCCCGTCCCAGTCAAGCCGTCTATCCTGGGGCAGCAGGCTCTCTGCTCCACTGCTGTCTCAAGCTGCCTGTTCTGGAGAGAAAGCTCCATAAAACCCCTCCCTGACCCAGAAGCCACGTAAACCTGATTGATCCTGTTCCCTGTCTGGACCAGAGCAAGGCCCTGATACCAGAGCCCCAGCTGGTCTTTGTCCCTCTCTCCCCTCTGTGGAGTCCCCCTTGGGCCTGAAATAGGGCACGAGAGGAGAGGATGGCTCCTGTCTCCAAATGCCTGAAAGCCCCTGGAAGGCAGCATGGTTGGGGAAGAAGGCTGGCTCAGGAGGCCCCTGCGGCGGACTCGGCTTCCTTGGGGCCTCCTTTCCCTGGATTCTGTTGGCAGAAAGGAGAGCCAGGGCAGAGTCCTGATCCAACCAGGAACAGCCTGAGGTCCCCAGGGCCATGTGCATACAGAAATTCCTCCCCGTCACGGGACCTCAGTCGGAAATCAGTTGCTAATGGCGTGGGTAGACGTCTGGGGTCTGGGCTGCAGAGCAAAGAGCAGGGAGATGGGAAGGGCGGAGGAGACAACGGGGTGAGCAGGTCACAGTTAGCACCATTGTCACAGGGTCACAGGTGCTGCTGTTATCCCAGGGGCAGACATGGAGAGCACAGGGTGAAATCCAGGCATTTGTATTGAGGTTAAGAAGAAAGGAAATGTCCCCAGTGTCTTGTGCCACGGCCAGAGTCCTTCAGCCAGTGCTGGACCATACCCTGAAGGCGCCATGTTGAATTCCAGCAGCCACCAGAGGCCTGGGAACATCGGCTCACCCAGGACGTTGCCGCAAGGCTCGGGGCAGCCTCCTCCAGGCAGCCAGCACCCCGTAGGTGCCCGTCCGCTTCCTGTGCCAGTGCTGGCCGAGGATAAAGCAGAGTAGGACCGATGTCACAAATAAGACCAGCAGTATTGTCACCACTATGATTATGATGATTATCGGATCGTTCGTAAGCTCTGGGAAGGGAAGAGGCAATGCATTTAGAGATTTTCAGGTGCCAGGCACCCCAGGGAGTCCACCCATCATGCCTTGGCCACTCATGCATTCCACAGCCAGCCTGGTAACAGAGAGAAGTGGCATAAGGTGTCTGCCCCCCGTGTGACATAGAAGAGGAAGGTGGTCTGCAGTCCAGGCTCTGTCAGGCAGAGAGCAGCTACCCCTCTTCAGCAGCTCCCGAGACCAGTATGTAGAGCCTGGACACCAGGGTGTTGTGGAATATTAGTTAAAGATGTGTTACATTTGTTTATGCTGCGGAACGTTTGTTTAATGGTGCGAAGATGTGTTGCATTCTTTTCTGTTGCATTTGTTTAACTCTGTGAAGCTGTGTTACTTTGCCTGCCTAAAACACCTGATTGGTCTAATAAAGAACTGAAAGGCCAATAGCTAAGCTGGAGAAAGGACAGGCAGGGTTAGCAGAATAGAGAGAATAAGTAGAAGGAGAAGGAGGAGGAGAGGAGGGTGCAGGGGACCAGCCACCCAGTCACACAGCCAGACACAGAATAAGAAGGAAAGGAAAAGCCGGGTGGTGGTAGTGCACACCTTTAATCCCAGCATTCAGGAGGCAGAGGCAGGCAGATCTCTGTGAGCTTGACGCCAGTCTGGTCTACAGAATGAGTTCCAAGAGAAGCTCCAAAGCTACACAGAGAAACCCTGTCTCGAAAACCAAACCAAAACAACAACAAAAAAGGAAATAAAATATATATAGAAATAGAAAAAGATAAAAGCCCAGGGGCAAAAGGCAGACAAGATAATTTAAGAGAAGCTGGCTAGAAATAAGCCAAGCTAAGACTGGGCATTCAAAGAATGCTCTGTGGGAGCTGGGTGGTGGACTCCCAACAACAACGCCATGGCCTGGAGGATGTCATGGTCAGGTTTATACCATGTCCCTCGTCAGGCAGGAGCTGAGTGAGCTTCAAGCAAGCTCATTTACAACAGGCTTTGGCCACCACGAGTCACAGACCAGCAGTGCTCCGGGGAAGCTGTGGGTCAGGCCAACAAGCCTTCCCACTGTAGAAAGGGGCCATAGCTAGAGAGAGCTCACTACCACGGTTAAGGCGACACAGCTCAATAACGGCCCAGCCACTAGTTGAGCTCTCCTGGCTTCTGGAAAAGTTGGGGTTCAGCTTGGAGCTTGGAGAGAGACCCAGTAAATCAGGAAGAGGGAGCCCTCAGGATTCTACATACACATCAAGCTACCTAGGAGTGGGGCTTGTGGGTTTTCTTTCCTCAAGGTGCCAAGAGGGATGCCATCTCTGCCCCTCTGGGCCCAGCATCTCCTTACCGTTGACTACGAGGATCTGGAACTCTGAGATGTTGCTGATGATGTGCCCCCCATGGGGCCGTAGGTCCAGCACAGCCTGGCAGGATAAGTTGAGGCTATCCTTTGTTAGAGCTGTCCTGTTGAATATGGCTATGGCCTTACTTTCAGTTCCCTCAAAGGTCTGGTTCTGCAGGGTCTGTCCTTCATGGAGCAGGCTGAGGGTGAGGCTCTCAAGGGGCTTCACGGCTTCTGCCGTACACTCAATGGTGAAGGTTTCTCCCACAAACACCTGCGAGGGCTGCAGCTTCAGTGTGACCTTAGCTGGAGGCTCTGTAGGAGACAAAGGAGGAAGACCACTCAGGATGGAACTGTGACCCTGCAGGCTCAACCTGGCCAGGGCCCATCTCCTGGCATCCCAGGTCCATAGCTGGACTTGAAAGAGAGGGAGTGGGCTGGGCATTGGCCTACTCACTGGAAGAAGAAAGAGGAGGGAGAAGGGTATGGTGGAGGATGATCTGGGTGATAGTTCTGTGATCATGATTCGGAAAACAGAGAAGGGGTCTACAGAGAGGAGATCCAGATTGCAGAGCCAGCTAGAAGGATATACAAAAACATCTGGGCCTGTCTCCATCCCCTCCAGATACCAAACACAGATGTTTGAATTAAACAGGTGGGTGGTTGTCCTGGGAGCACTGGAAGGGAGCTCCTCTATGTGAGGACTCCATGACAGTCTTCAGACCTGACTGTGAGCCTCCTCCTGAAGCCCGGGCAGGAGGCGCATTTGCCTCACTTCTCCAACTGGTTTCGTGACCAGTGTCATTGCGGATCCACTGAGTAAGGACTACAGAGGTACCCTGGTTTCCGCTTAAGCTACTCCACCCATCCTCACCCCACCTAGGACTCAGAACATCTTTCCAGCTTTTGATCCATCAATGTCGTTAACCTGTGGCAGGGAAACACCTGGAGCTAAGATTGAGCAAATCCTGCCAGGCGTGTACACAATGCTCACACGTTCGCCACGGGTGCTTGGGGGGGGGGGGGGGGGGGATGAAATGCTCCACGTTCTCCCACTTTCCTGGTATTCTCTAGTAGCTCCTCCATCTCACGATGCTTCCCTGATTCCCCCACTGCTTGTGATGCTTATGGAGTGTTCTGGCGACAGAACCGGGGTGGGAACTGACTTCCAGATCCATGCAAACCCTGGCTAGACTGACACTCTTGGAGAAAGATTCAAAACCTGCGCTGTCTGCTTCCGAAGTATAGGAGGACTCGTGGAGCCCAACCAAGGGTGTAAGCAGATCCTGAGCCCCCAGACCTGACCTGCTTGTGGTTCAGGAGCCCCGAGGAGATGAGGACCATGATGGGGAAGCCCAAGAGCAGTCACTGAGCAGATGTGGGAGTGTATAGTCGAGGAGTGGAGACCCAGGCAGAGACACTCACTGTATACTCTGACGTCGAGATGCTCTGAATGCTGTTTCTCCTCACAGGTGAAGTGGCACAGGAGGCTCACGTCTTGGGAGATATTTAAGACTAAGAACTGCTTCCACTTCCCTCGAGGGTGCTCCTCCAACACTTTCTTACTCAAGGTGGTCTCCAGACCACCCACTTGCGGATTCTCACAGCTCGTGCTGCAGTTGACTTTCAAAGAGCCTGTGGCTTCTACTATCTGCTCCTCGGATGATACGTGGACCTCGAACGCCTTCTCACCAGACCCTGGAAGAGCAAAAGCACCAGGCAGCAGATGTCTCCGAGGCCCGCCCTCAGGGGTCTCTATAACTTCACAACTTTCCCCATCAGACCTACGGAGGCTGCCACTCAGGGACTTCCCGCGTTCTTTCCTCCAGCCCCTCCGTCCATCGGCACTAGGTCAGTCTTCCTCGAGCCTCTCTCTCTCTCTCTCGCTGCGTTAAGCTCCAGTTCAAAGTTCTCTCTGTCATGAAGACACCTCTGAGAATGGAGGTAAGCTCTGAACTCACACAAACACAGAGAACTGCCAGGACGCCCTTCGGGTAGTGGTGAGCTCCAGGGAAAGGCATGGGGCAGGTGATGGAGGGACTCTTATTTTTTCCCCCTGAGACAAGGTGTCTCTGTGTAACAGTCCTGGCTGTCCACAACTCACTTTGTAGAACAGGCTGACCTCGAACTCTCAGAGATTAACCTGCTTCTGTCTCCCTAGTGCTGGGATTAAAGGTGTGTGCCGTCACTGCCAGAGGGACTCCACTTTTAATAACATGGTTAAGAAAACATAATGATAACGACATTGGGGCAAATATGGAAGGAGGAGGTGGACCTTGCGTGTGCTGTGGGAGCAAGTTCCACATACCGGGAACTGCTGCCTCCCAGACCTGCCTGTGGGAGCTTGCTCTCCCGAAGCAATGGACGGCCAGAACGGCAGGAGCTTAGCTAGGAAGAGGAATGCTAGAGACAAGGCCAGAGAAGCAACAGGCCACCATGAGAAGGAGCTGCTGCATTCACGGCTCATAACGTATGTTGATGCTCTGCAAACATTTTGAAGCTTCTAGAAGGCTGGGCCTGAGTTTTGCCTGTTTCTCTTTATGCTGACTACACCGCCCAGTGCATGACAGATACTTGGGAAGTATCTGGTGTGCAAAGATGGGACCCTCAGTGCTCACTGCCACTCTGTGAGGACCATGAAGGTCCTAGGTCCCAGCCAGCAGGGCCCCTACATATGGCCTGTTTTCTCTACCTCCCCCAGCCCACTCCGCCATCAGCTAGCGGTATGTAAATAACTTGCAAAAGAGGGGCTTTCCATGTAGACAGTACTGGGTTTGAACCCAACATTTGCCAGTGTGCTGTCCAGGCAGCCTAGGGTTAGATGCGTCCTCTCTCTGAGCCCCAGTTTCTTTGTCCATTAAGAGGGCTAACGTGCCCTCCCCTGGGTCCTGAGTGCAAGCAAGCTTGAAAGCACTTGGCATGGTTGACTCAGGCACAAGGCACTCAGCACGGAGTGGCGGTGTCCTTCCAGATCTCCTTGACCCACTGAAAAAAGTTTCATTTTCGTTTTCTTGTCCCAGTGAACGCAGCACCCCCTGCTGCCCTCTGCTGTTCACTGGGTCTCTTTGGCACACTCTCATCTCTTTGCTTAGACCCTGGCACCCCTTCTTACCCACTCACTGCACGCCACTCAACCTTGGCAGCCCATCGCATCAACATTCTCAGAGCCTTGGGCTTGCTCCATCCAGTAATCAAGAGGCCATGATCCTAGCCACTGTTTGAGGCCATGGGCAACCCAAGCCAGGCTGTCACGGTCTTCTGGATCCATGGTGGAGAGGCCCCTGTAGCCAGGATGCCCTCCTCCCCAACCTGAAGCCCAAGGAATAGTGCGGAACTCTCTACTCTAAGATGCCACGTGCTGGGAACCCTGGGGGTCGCTTACCTGAGCAGCAGAGCAGGGCAAGAAGGGTTATACGCAGGCTCCGGCAAGCAAAAGAAGACATCTCAGGTGGGGTCTATTGGCTCTAGGGGCTCAGCTGCTGGGAGACGGAGAGATGAACACCACAGATTGGGGAGTGAAGGCTGGAGCTTGGGACTGAAATCCGTAGTTTTCTCTGCACGAATGATCTCATTTCCTCTCATTATCTGAGATCAGGAAGTCTATGCCCCCCAACAGCTCCCAAACCTTCAGGCCCTCAAGAATTCAGGCAGAGGAAGCCAGGAAGTAGTTGATAAGCAGGGGTGTAACCACGGCCCTCCCACGTGGCTTGCTCCCTGTGTAGGGTTAGGAGAGGAAGGGGAACTCATATTCAGGGAAGTGGGTGTGGTGCAAGAGCATGCGTGCACGCCCTTACATGTGCGTGTATGTGTGTGTGCGTGTGTGGAATTTCTGTCTGTGCGTGGGGCAGAATGAGGCCTCCAAGGCTCAGACCTGGGGAACTCTGAATCCCACTGGGCCTCTCTTACAGCTTCTCTGGTAAGAGAATATCCAAAGTTAGAAGAACACAGTCACACAGCCATCTCCAACTAATATGTCTGCACACATTAATGTCTTGCTTAGCTTCCAGGAGAATCCTAGCCCTAACTCGGCCAATGCAGGGCCCACATGGGGCTCAGAGATTGCAGAAGGGCAGCCCACAGTGGTCTGCAGTGGCCCAGGTCTAGGAGGTCAGGGAACAGACTGGCTTACAGCCTATTTCCAAATCCTAGGTCCTTTTCTGGGTTTGTTAGCTGGTGCCTTCTTGCCCATCTACCATCCAAGCAGGGCCTTGGCCTGGCAAAGCTAGAACCTAATGCTTTCCAGTCAGGCTCTTCCCACAGGCAGTGAGTTTTTATGGGAGAGAAGACCTTCCTAGGCAATGTTGTGTTCCCCTATAACCAACCTTGCTCTCTCAGTCCTTAGATCCTCCGGAACAGGTGGGGCAAAAGCAGGCCTCCTTGATGTCTCTGTGGAACCCCAGAAAGGGCCTATCTGAAAGGAGTCCCAGGGTTTGGGGGACTCATTATCTGAGGTCAAGTAGCCACACGAAGGCTAGTTCCCAGACCATTGCAGCCTCCAGATGTCAAGCAAAGGAAGCTTCAATGGCTCAACCAGTGACCTGGGCTCCTGTGCTGGAGAGTACTGTGGTACCCTGCCATTCTCACCAACACTGTGTACAGCTATCCCATGCTGATGTTAACAGCTGGATCCAGGGAAGTCCCTGTGTGAGGCTGCTGAGCTTTGGAATCATGCCAGAAGGAAGGGGACGACAGAGTGGGCAGAGAGACGTGGGGAGAAGTGGAGTGGGGTCAGGGAGGGCTCTGATCTCACATGAGGGTGACAGAGTGCTGAGGACAGGGGACAGGACAGCTGGAAGGGTCTGGGTGACAACTGGGGACTGACCTCCGGTGGGTAATAATAGTAATAATAAAATAATAATAATAATGGTGGTGATAATAATACAGCAACACAGACACTATATATAGGGAGGGAACAAGTCCTTTTTCATTTTAGGGGTGCTGGCGACTGAGATGCCATGGCTTCCTACATGCTAGGCCAGTGCTCAGAGCTGCACCCCTAGGCTCTCTTTGTGCTTTTTTCGTTATGAGACAGGGCCTCACTAAGGGGTCCATCCTGGCCTCGAGCTCACTTTGTAGTTCAAGTTCAGAGAAGCTCGTCATCCGGCAGTGTGTGGTTGTGTTTGCATCTAGTGTGTCCACACACGCCTAGATGGTGCAGGAGACTACATACTTGGTGTACATAGCTGTACGTGCTATACTTGAATACAACTGCAGTACGGTAGCTTGGCACTAATGTCACCAGAGGTCTGGGAGCGATGCGGTGAGTTACAGTGTTAGGATGGCTATGGTGTCTCTAGGTGGTATGAATCTTCTCCAGCTTCAGTGTAATTTTCTGGGACCCCTGTTGTAGACGTGGCTTGTCACTGACTGAAATGTCTTGGGGCGTGCAGCCGTACCCACTTCATGCTGGTCACTGTCAAAGCACCCTGTAATCATTAACTAGTTACTCCTGAACTCTGCAAGCGCGAGTACTTCTGCTTCTCATCTTCTAGGAGAAACTGAGGCACAGAGAGGCTAAGTGGCTTGAGCAAGGTCACATACCTAGGAGAGAGTGAAGTCCCTATGGGTGACAGGCAGCCGTGGGTAGCTGATGAAGCCCACCAGAGCAGGGGCAAAGGAAGTCATTGTGAGGGTCAGATTCCCTGGAGACCCTTGGGAGGGACACGCCAGGCAGCAGAAGTCCAGAGGAAACTTCCGGTCAAGGCTCGAAAAGAAAGCAAATAGCCATTACCAGAACAACCATGGAAACGCAGCAGGGTTATAAAAAGAGCCCATACAACAGAAAGGAGAAGGGAGGCTGCCAGGGGCTGGGAAGGGAAGCGGGAGTTTTCCTAGGGGTGGTTTCATTTTGTAAGATTGGTTCCGAAGATTAATCTCGGAACAATGTGACTGTGCTTGGTTGAAAATAAATAAACAAATGGGTACACAGCAGAGTGTGTATAGTACCACAATTAAAAAAAGAAAAATAAGCCGGGTGGTGGTGACCCACGCCTTTAATCCCAGCATTTGGGAGGCAGAGGTAGGTGGATCTCTGAGTTCAAGCCTGTGATCTACAGGAGTGAGTTCCAGGACAGCCAGGGCCACACAGAGAAACCCTGTCTCAAAAAACAAGCAAACGAAAGCCAGGTGTGCTGACATCACTCAGATGCTGAGACAGCTGGATGGTGAATTTGAAGGCAATCTGGGCTACTCTCGACAATAAAAAATAAAGGGGACGATAAAGTAAGGCGTGCCATAAAATATGAAACAAAGTAAACCAAATCTCAGAAAGATTAACTTTTCAGTCTTAATTTGAAAAGAAATAAAAAATCTGAGTGGGGGCCGCTGAGACAGACGGCTGACTCAGAAGGTATAAGCTCTTGTCACCAAGCCTGATGACCTGACTGTGACCCCGGGGACCCATGTGGTGGAGAGAACTGACTCCCACGAGCTGTGCTCTGACTGCTGTGTGTGTGTGCTGTGGCAATGTAATAAAACAGGAAAAGAAAGACACTTTGTCTCACCACTGATTTGCAGTCAATGAAATCCCAGTCAGTCCCAATAAGGATGGAACTTGAAAGTATCGGAAGAATAAGATGATCCAGACACACGGGGAGAACAAGGCAAGCAATTTGTTCTTGGAATACTGAGATTTAATACAAAAGAGTAATATGGGGGTAGGGAGATTAGTTAGTGGGTCCTAGTCTCTAGGTCCTAACACACACCTAACACATGACAAAGGCGACACTGCAGATGGCTGGGTAAAAGAAAGGTCTACTATGTGAGGCTGGATCAACTGATCAACTAGACGGGGAGCGGAGCGGTATCCCCACATCACAGCAACTGGAGAACTCAGTTCCATTCACGGTGAGTACTTATGTGTGAAGGGAAACTTTAGAAACACTGACAAAATATAGGAGAGTGTTGTCATTGCAGTAAGGTATTAGGTAAGACTTCAACTGTCAATCATAAACAACAGAGGCTAGGGCTGTGGCTCTATGGGTAGAGCGCTTCCCTGGCACATACAAGTCCTGGGTTCCATTCCCAGCACTGAAAAAACAGACTAATTAAATTGTTGCTAACTGAGTGCACAAAGCAATGTCAAAGGGAAGAGGACATTACTTTTAGCTCAACAGTAAATCAAGATAAAAACCACATCTACCAAGTTGGCAGAGGTTAAGAAGTCTAAAGGTCAATTTTTGGAGAAGTTCTGGGGTCGATAATAACTTTTACAGTTACTGATGGGAGAACTGTTCTCTGGGGAACAGCAAGTATTATCTCGTAAAGCTGAATAAAAACCAACTTATTTTATTTTGTATTTTTATGCGTCTGTGACCAGAAGAGGGTGGTAGGTGTCCTAGAGTTAAGGCGGTTGTGAGCCACCCTTGGAGTGCTGGGAACGGAACTCCCATCTTCCGAGAAGCAACAAGCACTCTTAGCCACTGAGCCAAGCAGCTTCCTCCCCTGGGGCACAACTCTTCTCTTAGATATGGACAACCCTGGAAGACCTTTTGTGCCAAGACTGCCTTGTGTGACTTTAGGCAAATCACCCAATCTCTTTATGCTTCCACTCCCTGGTCTGAAGGATGGGATTCGCGCTAACATCTCCTTCATAGACTTTTTGTTTGTTTGTTTTTCGAGACAGGGTTTCTCTGTGGCTTTGGAGCCTGGAACTAGCTCTGTAGACCAGGCTGGCCTCTGGCCTCGAACTCACAGAGATCTGCCTGCTTCTGCCTTCCGAGTGCTGGGATTAAAGGTGTGCACCACCACCGCCGGCTTTTTTTTAAATTTATTTACTTTTTTTCAATTTTATGTGCATTGATGTTTTGCCATGGGTGTCAGGTCTCCTGGAACTGGAGTTACAGACCAGTTGTAAGCTGTCATGTGTGCTTCGTAGACTCCTTGTGTGAATTAAATGAATTCATTTTTCCCCCTCGAGACAGTCTTCGGCAGTCCAGGCTGACCTCAAATCCGATATAGAGCTGAGGCTAGCCTTGAACTCCTGATCCTTCTTCATCACCTACACACTAGGATTTCAGGCAGCTGCCACCACATCTGGCTTAAATGAGTTGATGTTTTAAGGTATCCGGAATCCTAGATACCTTAGATGTCATGTAACCATCTCACAAAATAAAAATAAGCTTGTTTGTGTGACTGAATACTTCAGAGAAGCTAAGACCAAATTCTAGCCAGTGGGTGGAAAGAGTGAGCTCTGAGGAGATAAGTTCATAAAGCGTTAGTGACAATTTCACCCACGGCCATTACATTGCTGTGCACTATGGTGACTGGTGACAGACACCTTCTTACCTTGCCGTGCACTCTGGTGATAGACAGACACCTTCTCACACATTACCTGTTCAGTTTTACAGAAAGAATACAAAGGGGAAAGGGAAATTCCTGAATGTCTACAAGGAAGAGGAGGTAGCATTACTGACTGATGTGGTTCTCAGGATGAGACCCGAACCACGTGCTCACTTGAGAGGCAGGGACTGGATGGCGGTGGGGGCACCCAGGAGGCAGAGATAGGCGGATCTCTCTGAATCGGAGGCCAGCCTGGTATAGAGAGAGTGAGTTCCAGGACAGCCAGGGCTACGCAGAGAAATCCTGTCTCAAAAAACAGAGAGAGAGAGAGAGAGAGAGAGAGAGAGAGAGAGAGAGAGAGAGAGAGAGTCCCTTTGCAGGTCTCAGCCCCTGTGGACCTGGGGTAAGAAAGCAGTGGCCCTGTTGGTATGGTGGCCCATGACTTTAGGCGGATCTCTGGGAGTTCCAGGCCAGCCAGGGTTAGGTTTCTAAATCTGTCACCTACATGGATGTCACCCAGAGGGGGACGGAGAGGAAGAAAGCAAAAAACAGGAAACAGTCACTAAGGCGGGGACAGGGTGAGGGTTTGGAGACAAAGAAAGCAAGAGCCTCAGAAGCTTTGAAGGAGGTACTCCCTCTGGGGATCCCCCCCCCCCAACCACTGTGCTTACCAGAGTGGGGGAGCTGAGGCCTGGAGAGAGGAAGAGATCAGAATTCAGGCCTGACACTCAAGAGGCCAAAGGCTCCATGCTGCCTGCTCGTTGGAGGGGAAGTGGGAGAAGCCAGAGGCTGTGACTTACCTTGCGGGGCTCAGATGCTGGTATGTGGTGTGTGTGTTAAGTTTCTACCCGTTAAACGTTAGACTCTCTCAGGGGTCACGTGTTTCCTGTGCCCTGGTTTCTTCACCAAATTAACATGGTTTTAACACTACTACTGGCTTTTCCCCCCATGTTGTCATAAAATATACCTAATGAAATTTATTATTCTTTTTTTTTCCTTTTTTTGAGGCAGGGTCTCACTATATAGACCAGGCTAGCCTCACATTCAGAGTCTTCCAGCCTCTTCCTCTTGAGGGCTAGCTAGTATTGAATAAGCCACCATGCCCCCAACAGTTTGTGAACACAGCTGTGTGGCTCCTAGAACATTCACTGTGAGCCATCTCGAGAACTCTCCAGAACTTTCCACCTTTCCAAACTGAAACTCCAGGTCCATCACAGTAATTCTCCCTCCTTCCCCAACCCTGGCAACTCCCACTCTACTTTCTGTCTCTGTCTGACTTCTCTGGGTCCTTTTGTAATGGCTTCATGTCATTGGGTGTGACTTCCCCGGGCTCATCTGGGTGACGGCATGCGGTAGAACACCCTTTCCTAAGGCTGCAGACTGTAACTCTGTAATATCACACACACATCTATCACTCACCTGCCCACAGCTGGACACTGTGTTCCTTCCATATCCTTGCAGTTTTAAATAATGTTGTTATGAACGTGTGTGAAAATTCCCATTGTATTTTATTTATTTATTTATTTATTTATTTATTTATTTATTTATTTATTTTGAGACAGGATTTCTCTGTGTAGTCCTGGCTGTCCTGGACCAGGCTGGTTTTAAGAGATTTGCTTGCCTCTGCCTCCTGAGTGCTGGGATTAAAGGTGTGCGCCACTACCACCACCTGGCCTCATTGTCTTTTTAAAAAGCATTACTGCATTTATTTATTTAGCGTGTGCAAGTTCATGAATGCAGATGTGCATGCCACACAGTGGAGGTCAGAGAACAATTTATGGGAGTCAGCTCTTTCCTACCACATGGGTCTTGGGGACCGGACTCAGGTATCAGGTACGGTATACACCTTTACCTGCTGAGCCACCTCGTCGGCTCAAATTCCTACTTTTATTTTCTTTTTTTTCCCTGCTCCCTGGCCACCATAAAGTGAACATATCAAGTCTTCCTTGTGCTCCCTGTCACAATGTTCTGCCTCCCCATTGCCCAGGAAGGAACAACAGAGCCAAGTGACCGCTGACTGAGACTCCGAAATCTTGACCTGAAACAAAATCTTTTCAAAGGGAGCAAGGACCTTGTGGGACATCTTAAATCACTTGGAGACCATCCTTGAAAGACATTGGGGGACTATGTTCCTTTCTCTAAGCTTCTCAGCTAGAAATATGCCAGCGGCTGCAGAAAGATGCGGGTATCTAAGACTGCAGAACTATACCCTTGAAAATGGAAGGGGCTGGGCAGTCTCGGCTTTCAGTTCTTTGGGAACATACGCAGAGTGGGCCTGCTGTAGCAGATGGCCGCTCTGTGCAAGTTACAGAAGAACTGCAATCCTATTTACTCCCCTTGAGTGCAGGTTCTTGAGGCCTTTGATGGAATGAGTCCCTCACTGTGCCTGTCCAGTCAGTAGCACAGAGTCTGTAGCCCCAACCAGCAAGTATTCCTCTAGCAGGTGGCTTTGTTTTAAACGAGCAGGAAGTCTGAAATTTGGGCATGGGGATGGGGTGGGTACCAGACACACCAAGGATCTTCTTCCCATGGGTCAGTTTCACAATCCACAGTGGTTAGAGCTCTAGTTCAGCCATCAGGACTCCACAGAATCTTCCAGACCGCGGACGAATGCCAACCATGAATGCTGATTGATGGTCTGCTGGCTGTACAGTTTTTCTCAGTGCATTTTTGCCTCAGTTTCTTCAAAGCATTCCTCTCCTTACCCGCTGGAGACAGGATTTCTCTGTGTAGTCCTGGCTGCCCTGGAACTTATTCTGTAGACCAGGTTGGCCTGAACTCAGAGATCTACCTGT